CCCCAAAACCCCAAAACCCCAAAACCCCAAAACCCCTTCTTGTATTTATTTTATTGAAATAAAATTTAGCAAAATGAACAGAGAAAACTTGTAAGGGTTCATAAAATAACCTTCTAGATCAAAGTTGCCTGGTTCAAATAATGGTAAGTTGACCTTCAGTTTGCTCTTAATCTCTGTATAGCTCTTGTTGATGAGTGAACAAATAGAGTAAATTCCATAAAAAATGCTCAGGCTTAACTCTTATGTTATAGATCAGGAAGCAGAGGAAAGATAGTATTGAGAACGTTGACCTTCAAAGTGTCCTTTCTTATTCTTCCAGGATTAGTAACGGATATTATGAAGGCAGAAAAGCCAATTATAGGAATCCAAAGCCTTTTAGAAACCAGAAGATAGCAGATGATGAGGGAACGTGCAGATCTATGGCAAGCGAGTATGATTACAAAAGTATGGAGTTTACATGATTTTTAGATCCAAGAGCTTTAAAGAGAAAAGCACCTTCTACCTCTCACAGTAGTAGAAGAAGAAGACTAATTGTTGGATTTAAGCAAGAAAAATGTGAAACAATAGTAATTTATTCACTATTTTCTTTAGAAATCACAGGAAGAATTCTCTAACAAAGAAGATAATCAGGCTACTAAAATAAAAACTCGAAAATATGTTAAAGATGAAGAGCAAGAAGATAAAGAAGATTATCAAAATAAAATAACAAAAGATCAAAGCTCAGAAAATTCTCAGGATGATGAAAAAGACGAACTAGATAAAGTAGACACAAAGTCTTTAGAATCTGTCGATACACCCAGGCATCAATCAGATAAAGAAAGTGAGCTTCAGAAAGATAAAGTTAAACTAAAGAAAGTCCATGAGACAATTAAACTAAAAGGTATAATAATTAAAAATACTGATGATCTGTGAATGTCTGTGCAAATACCCTAATTGTTCAATCATATAGCAAAAGCAATCTTAGAAAAGATTAAGAATACACCAGTAAGATTTTTGTGATCAAAAATAGAAATAAGAAAATGATATTTTACCCTCAACAAAAATTATCCAGTTGAAGCAGAGTGAGTGCAGATAAGCAAAAGCAAACTCAGTTTAAACGTCCCAAAAACACAAAATTCGAAAACCTCCAGACTTATGACACTCCTCAGAAAACTTACACCGACACTGTACCCCAAAATCCCTCCATCCAACCTCCTTACCCTCCAAACTCCCACTCTCGAACCTCTCACAACAAACTCCACTCCACCTGAATGTACCGCACCCAAGCTCTTCCCATCCTGATCACTGACTCTGACTTCAAACCACGTAAGTGGAAAATGGGTCTTCGTGACAAACTCGACACTAAAAAGAAGTACCAGACCAATTCCCAAAAACGGCAAGAGAAGATAGATAGAACTATCTTCAAGCAAGCCGTTAAGCAAAGAATAGGTAAGAGTAGTCAATAGCTTTCTTGGGGGATATGGGGTCTTAACCAGATTTATGAGACTTTGTCCTATGGAAGACTAGGGGTAAATTGTTAGTGGGAGGATCTGGAGATGTTGTGTGGAAGGTAAAACTTTTTATTACTGGTGGTGTGATTGGCTTAGCTGCTACTATCTTTAAATGTGAGGAAGATTTTTGTGTGTGGGTTTGAGCGCAGGCTAGATTTGAGGGGGTTGATGTGGGATGTAGGAATAAGGTTGAATTATCAGAACCAGAAGATATTGGCCCAGATGAGGGCAAGCAAGAAGAGAAATAGAGGACATGGAAGAACCTGTTCAGTAGAGAATGGTGTCCAGGAGGATAATAAGGGGTTTCCAAAGTCAACAATTCAACATAATTTTGATAGTAGTGTGTTTAGGAATTTTAGGGTTGATAAGTTTACCTTCAAAAAACTATCAAGCTTTGGAGCCTACTGCAATGCTCAGAACTCAAATGGAGTATTTATAAATCCTCCAGCTACAGGAATTTAGTCATTAAAAATGAGTTTCAACCTGAAAATTTTAAAGAGGGGTTTTGGGGTTTTGGGGTTTTGGGGTTTTGGGG